GCTGGGACTCGCTTGGCTCCCCTCCGGCACATCAGTCCGGTTATTGCTCCCGGGGGACACAGAGTGCTGCTGAGACCCCACGAAGGAGTGGGTTAGGGGGAAAAAAACAAACCCAAAAAATCAAACTTCTGGCATTATTTTTAACCTGGAAGGAAAAAAAAGATAAATAATCAAACTTTCAGCTTTATTTTCAACCTGGGATTATCCGAAAAGCCAAGGCAGAGCGCGAATTGCTCGAGAGGCTGATTTGTGGAGCTCGGTGCCGTTACGGGAGGGAGGCCAGTCTGAAATAACGGGCAAATTATAGTCCTTCTGGCATATGGTTTTGGCTTTTTTTTTGTGGTTCCTGAGCCATCCCCTCGCTGCCTGATAACAAAAAATACCTTTGATGTCTCTCTTTTTCCCACCTCCCTCTACAGGGTTTCACCTCCATTCCTACCCCCTCAGCTCCGGCAAACGGGCTCGGGGTGAATCTGCCGGCACGAAAACCCAGCAAGGGAATAAAAAAAAAGAGCTTAAAGATGACTTGGCTGTTCCCAGCGAGCGCCCCGGGGTTTTTGAAACGTCGGCTGTTCCACTGGGCTGGCAAATTCTTCTCCGTGCATCCATCTCTCTCTTTGTTTTCCCTTCCCCGAAGGATGGCGAGGTCCAGACGTTGCCGGTGCGCGGTTTGCCGTCGGCATCTCACGGCCGGGAGCTGGCCGGGATTTCGGTCGGCAGCCTCGCTCGCTCCCAACGCCGGCGGCGAGCTTGGCAGGGGTGCTCGGCAAGTTCCTGGAGCGTTTGGGAAAGAACGTGCAGAGTTTTAACGTTCCGTTCGTTACTCGCTGAGCTTAGGGGCTGGGGGCTTTGGAGTTGCCGGCGGAGGGTCCTGCGGGTTGGTCGTTCTTGCTGGTTTTTTGGGTTTTTTTAGGTGAAAAAATTCTTCTTTTAGATGAAATAGGAGAGCATTTCTTGCCAGGCTGGGTGTCTAGCCACGTGGTGAGAGGGGTAAGAAGATCTTTATCCCATCTGTCTTCAGGGAGGTGGGTCCCTATATGGGAGCCTTCTGCTGAGCAGGTGTTTTCTAGGGAGGATTTTCTTGGAAGACATTGTCTCTGTTGATGGCATCCACAGAGGGCAGGGGAGGTTGTGGCAAAGCTGCAAACTGCTCTCCGGGTCTGTTTCCATCCCCTGTGCCAGCTTCAACTGGCTCCGGAGCGGGCTGATGGGCAGCAACCACTGAGCCCTTTTGATATTTTATTTTTATGTTTTAGTCTTAGGTTTTATTTTTATTTTTAAATTATTTTTATTCTTATTTTTTATTTTTATATAGTCTTGGGTTTTATTTATTTTTTTTTAATTTTATTCTCAATTTTATTTTTTCTTGCTGGATCTATTATTTATATCTGGCTATTAAGGCAGGTCCGTAGCCTTGGGCAATCTGGTTCCACATCTGTTTCCTGAATTAACCGTCAAGGTCGCTGCTGAGCTGGTATCTGTTAAGATCCAGATCCTCTCCTAAATGCCGCCCCCCTCCCTAAAAGAAACAGGGGCTGGGGTTCGGGGTTAACCCTTTCATTCGGAGGCTGGAAGGGGTACCTTGTCGCCGCTAGCTGGGGGAGAATGGGATTTAGCACTGCTTTAAAAGACAGATTTAGGGGATTAAGTCCCATCTTGGGAGTAATAAGTCTTCTTGTGTCTTAGTCCCTTAATGAGGTGTTTCCAAGCGACTTGTGGTCCCGCTGCTGTCCCTGGTCACTTCTCTACCAAGGCTGAGGAAGGACGCACGGACACTGGGCCGGCATTGACAAGTTGAGTTGTCGACATCTCTGAAAAGTTTCACTGTTCCCCAATTTTCTTTCACTTGGGATAGCTAATGTTGGCTGGGGGCATGCGAAGGTTCAGGACAGGGGGCTTGTCTCAGATCTGGGGGTTGCCTGGTGGAGAGGTCCCGAAGGGAAGGACACGGGAGGTTCATCCTGATGGATTTGAGGGGTCCTTGGGAGCTGGGAGCAAGCAGGAGAGCGCTGATGGATGATCGTAGAGCCATAGGATGGTTTGGGTTGGAAGGGACCTCAAAGATCAGCTAGTTCGAACCCTCCTCTACACCAGGCTGCTCAAAGCCCCATCCAACCTGGCCTTGAACACTTCCAGGGATGGGGCAGCCACAGCTTCTCTGAGCAACCTGTTCCAGTGCCTCACCACCCTCAGAGGGAAGAATTTCTTCCTTAGATCTAATTCAAATCTCCCCTCTTTCAGTTTAAAGCCATTGCCCCTTGTCCTATCACTACATGCCCTTGTCCAAAGCCCCTCTCCAGGTTTCTTGTAGCCCCTTTAGGTACTGGAAGGTCTCCCCGGAGCCTTCGCTTCTCCAGGCTGAACAACTCCAACTCTCTCAGACTGTTTCCATAGCAGAGGTGCTCTAGCCCTTGGATCATCTTTGTGGCCGCTTCTGGACTCACTCCAACAGCTCCATGTCCTTCTTGTGTTGGGGACCCCAGAGCTGAATGCAGCACTGCAGGTGGGGTCTCACTAGAGCAGAGCAGAGGGGCAGAATCCCCTCCCTCGACCTGCTGCCCACACTTCTTTGGATGCAACCCAGGGTACGGTTTGTTTTCTGGGCTGTAAGCGCATGGTGCCAGCTCATGTTGAGCTTCTCATCAACCAGCACTCCCAAGTCCTTCTTCTCAGGGCTGCTCTCAATCTGTTCTCTACCCAGGCCTGTACTTGTGCTTGAGATTGCCCTGACCCATGTGCAGGACCTTGCACTTGGCCTTGTTGAACTTCCTGAGGTTCTCACGGGCCCCAGCTCTCCAGCCTGTCAAGGTCCCTCTGGATGGCATCCTTTCCCTCCAGTGTCTTTCCCACACCACACAGCTCGGTGTCATCGGCAAACTTGCTGAGGGTGCACTCGATCCCACTGTCCATGTCACCGACAAAGATGTTAAGCAGCAAAGAAAGTCCCGTTCTCTAAAAACCTGTTGTTTTCTGTTTTTTTTCTGAACTGTGTTTTCACCCATGGGTGAGGTGCAGGTAGAGGAGGCTGGCCCAGGGTCTCCTGTCATTGCGTGGGCTGTGGGCTGCCCACTCAGTGCCTCCTCGGTGGCCAGCTGTTGCCGTGCTCAGCTCGCAGGGACCTTTCCCATCTGGATGTCTTCTCTTGGTAGTACTTAGGAGTGGAGTTTGTTTATCCATCCTGGAAATGCAGAAGGAAAAGATTATAGCTCGTCATTTCCTTTGCAGTCATCTTCAATAGCCGATGTTGATAGACATCTTATTGACTCACAAGCCCTCCCTGTTCTGTTCATTGTGTTGTGTTCTCCTGGGGTTTCTGAAGTGGTAGGTCAACTTTGACTCACCAGTATAACTGAGTAATGCCCTTGCTTTGATACAATCGCTCGCCTCTCCTGCAAAAAACCCACTTTTTTTCTTCCCACCAAAGGCAAGGACGCTGGAGTCCAACGCATTTCCTTCCATCTGAGGAATTCATACTCCGGAGGGGCAGCGGCTCATTGTGAGATGCTCGGTGATGGAGGCAGCTCCCGTGGGAAACGTGTCCCTCCTCCTCTCTCTTGATGGGATGGGTGGTGTCCTTGACCCTCTGAGCCACCCATCCGGGGGAAATTTGGCTTATTCCAGCTTGGCTTTTTGACTTTATGCTTTTTACACAGGGAAAGATGAAAAAAAAACCCACCAAAGAGCTGGGGGTGGGAGGGATGGAGATGAGATCTTCGCACCTGGTCTTGTGTGGTCTTGGGAAGCGGGGTAGGATGCTGACCGTGGAGAACAGGAGGGGCTTGAGAGCTGGGATGATCTTAACTTCTTCTCTGTTTTATTTTCTTTCCCTTCTTCAGGTGGACGAAATTTATCACGACGAGTCGCTGGGTGTCCACATCAACATCGTGCTGGTCAGGATGATCATGGTGGGATACCGCCAGGTAAATACGGCGCTCGAACCTGGCGAGGAGGAGATGCTCCTCAGGCTGGCCCTTGCTTTTCGGCTGCTTTCCTGGTGCGAGTCCTGCCCCGCGAGGGAAGGAGGGTCACTGAAATACAATATAGCCACAGCAGACAGCTGCCGCTTCTCCCACGGCTGGCAAGTGTGTGGTGACACCGTGACTTAGTGTCTCATCACCCTAATATTTAGCACTTAGGTGAGCCTTGGCTTGGGAGAATGTGTCCGTTCAGGTCAGCCATTGAAGGTCAAGTGACAACTGTGCAGAGCAGGGATGAACTTGAACCCTCATCCAGCTGGTTTCTGGAGCCTGGAGGTCCCAGCAAGCCCTATAGCTGTCCAGCCCCAGGGCAAAGAGGGATCCCTAAGGAGATGGTGGATGGCTGCGATCAGCCTTCATCTGCTTGCTCTGGGGTGGGGGAAAAACCATGAGAGGCTTCCTCGGAAGCTTTAGGGTGGCAGTAGACGATGGGACAAAGGTGGCTTCCCAATATGGTAGGAGCTGGGTATCGGTGAGGAGAAGCTGAGGCCAGGTTCTCAGGAGCAGGGACAAGGATGGAGGCTGGCTCGGTTTTGGAGGCTTCTAGGAGACCAAGAACATCATCTCCTCCCAGGAAAGGCAGCAACATGTCTGGCTTCCTCCCAGCAGTGTTTGTGGGCTGGGCTGGGGGATGATATACGGAGGGGAAGGGCCTCAGAGCTGTGGTGTTGTGGCCAGTAACCAAAGGGATGAGAGCCAAAGGGCTCTGGTGAGCATGATTTATCCTCCCAAAAGCCCACGCCAAAGGCAGCTGCTTTGTCCGGCTACGTCGCTGCTCAGGTTCAGGGAATGATGTGGGAAGCAACGAGCAGATATTTGAACCCAGGAGAGGTCTCAGCTCACCACTGTTGAGGTCTGATGCTTCCTCAGCCAGTCCTCCTGTGGCTTCTTGTCTCCCACCTTGCACTTTGTAAGATAAAACCTCCGTGGCTTCCACTTACAGGCTAGAGGAAGGGTAATATTTCTTACCTTTCTTCCCATCGCTGTGACTCAGCTGGTACCTGCCTGAGAGCATCCTGTGGTTTCTAGAGCATCCTGTGGTTTCTAGAGCATCCTGTGGTTTCTAGAGCATCCCTTAGTTTCTAGAGCATCCCTTAGTTTCTAGAGCATAATTTTGCACAATGCTAATCTTGAACCACAAAAAAAAAAAAAAAGATGAAGGACAAGGTGACTGCTATATAATGGTCCTGGCCACCTCCACCGAGTTTCTACTGGGGTCTTGGTCTTCTGTTTCTTCACCGTTCTTAAATAAAAAAAGGTGCAAGATGCTTTGCAGATGCCAAGCGAACTGTTGTTGCTTCTCACGATGGAGAAGCACTACTCAGGAGTCTTTCCAACCCCAGAACTCTTGGTAGGTTCCTTCTCCCTCACTAACTTACCCATCTTTTTTATTTCTTTTTTTTTTTTATTTATTTTTCCATTCTTCACCCAGTCAGTCAGCCTGATAGAGCGAGGGAACCCGTCTCGGAGCTTGGAGCAGGTCTGCCGCTGGGCTCACTCGCAGCAGCGCTCCGACCCGGAACACGCCGAGTACCACGACCACGCCGTGTTCCTCACCAGGCAAGATTTTGGTCCCGCAGGTATGCAAGGTACTGTATTTATCTCGATCAGGTATGTGCAGTTTCCTGGGGGAAAGGCAGCGAGGGGAAAGGATTCCTTGCAAACATGGTCTCTTTCTTGGCCAGCAAGGTCCAGAAAAAGGTTATAAATTTGGTATTTTATTTTTTTATGTGAAGTAGAAGAAAAACAATTAAGCCAGGGCAGCAACCTGAACGGTCTTTATTCATTCTGCCCTTTGGTTTCATGCACCAGTCCTCCCCTTGTCCCAATGTGCCTTAAAAAGTTGAAAAATAACATAAAAGAGATGGAATACTGCAGGGAGCTTCCAGTCAATCCTTTCTGTCCTCCAGAGGACCTTTAAAACCTGGTTTTACGTGGGTTGGTTTCTTGACCCTCTTTAAAACCTGGTTTTACGTGGGTTGGTTTCTTGACCCTCTTAAGACTTGGGATAGGGGAGCGTTGAGTCAACCCTGGACCGAAGAGGAGGTCTTACTGTGATCTGCACGAGCAATGCCGAAAGTCCTCTTGGTGCAGAGGCTGTGCTGATGTGGTCTGAGAAGTTAAGAGACCTAGGCAAAAAAAAACTTTAAAAAATTGCAGGAAGAGCTGCTGTGGCTCCATTGGAAATGTGGATGCTCTGGTGGCATGATGAGAAGTGACTTCTCCCAGTTCTCCTGAGCCTGCTGTCTCCAAATTACCAACTCTTCCTTCCCACGTTGCTGGCCAGGTCTGAATTTCCCATCAGGATGCTGCCTTTGATGCCATGAATGTACTGATGGCACTGGTTTCTTGCACGAGTCCCTCTGGTGCGCGTGGGAGGAACAAGAGATGGAGGAGTCCTGCCCTCGCCTCGATCACCCCCCTGAAAAGGGTCACCCCACAGCAGGGAATGAACCATAGGAGATACCCAGCTGGAAGCCCTCTCGAACGTGTTGTTGGCCATCAAAGAGGAGAGCTTGGGTTGTGCCAGCAGCCTCCCCACCGAGCCCTTGACCTACCTTCGGCTCCTTCGAGCCGCGTGGCCGCGTGGGTAAAACACCAGGTTTTGTTCATTTTTCTAGACCCTTCCTGGCAAAGTGACTGTGCCCAAAGGCATTGGCGGGAGGACCCTTTTTGGCGTGTCGGGAAAGGGGGGAGACTTGCTGGACTCCCCCTTGGTAAGGAGTTGTGAGATCGATGGCGCAGCCCTGCTCCAGCGTTGCTCGTTCCAGCTTCTTCCCCTTTACCCTGCGGATCTGGCTCCTTGCTTTTCATGCATCTCCAGGATGGACATTTGCTTTCCGCAGAAGGTCCCTGTGGCTGCCATGGCCTTGCGTGGTGGCTGCGTGGCATGGCACGAGGTGTTCCTCACCCACTGGAATCTGCCCTCTTGTTGGGCTGCTGGAATAGTGATGCTTTGCTTTCTCTTGCCCCTTTTCCTCAAAATGGTGTCCTTTTCACTCCATACCACCTCTTTTCTGCTCAGGACTGTGTGCAACGAAGGACCAGACTGTGGCACCTCCAATACTCACTCACAGCGTATGTTTACTGGTGATATCTAAGCAGCTTGCTGAGGTGATGGCAAATACCTGCTGGCTTCTTTAACCACTGCTGTAGAGTGTCCACGCTGGTTGGGAAGCATCTATTCAGCTCACGCGTGCCCTGAAGCTGAGCTGAAGGCGGAGGTGGTCCTGTCCCAAAGACCCTACAGCCTAGAGCAACAAGCCAGGAGAAAGGAAGCCTTAGGAGGATGAAGTCCTCCAAGTCACAGGGGCCTGGGAACGGTGCCTAAATGTCAAGCCCATGCTTCGCTTGATGCCTCATCGCTCCTTAGAGTTCTGTGCCCAAATAGCAACAGAGACGGGGCTGGAATCTGACTCCTTAACCTGCGTGATCCTCTTAGCCCAGGCTATTTCCATGCCAGCAAGCCAACCACGCTCCGTCACCGCATCCCCACCAGGTGTTGCTTGTACCAACCTTTGCGTACCGTCACCTCCTCTTGACCGGTAGCCCAGACCAACCTGGTCTAGTGCAGCACCGGTTAAGCTGGACACAAGCCCTTGGGAAGTGTTGCCGTTTCTCGGCGTAGCTCTTCTCTGCTGCAAGTCCAAGCCGAGGTTTACCAAAACTCGGTGCCAGCAACAGCTCCACTCGCAGCACCTCCTGATAGGGATGGGAGCGGTCGCGGCCAACGCCGAGTAGTTTTGGAAAGATGATGGCCATTGTTGCTTTGGGAATCCAGGGGAGCTGGAAGGTGTGATGGGGAAGTGCTGGGAGGGACGGCTGAGGTCCACCGTCCTCGCATGTGGGGGCTGCCAATAAGCCTTCAAAGAGAAATGCCTCTTGGCGGTGGACAGATGGGTTGTGAATTATTAATTAGTCTAAAGCAGAAGAGAGGGCCGTGTCCTTCGGCAGTGTGTGGGCACAGCGGGGTTTATGGCCCAGGCTGAAGGATGCTTTTGCTTCGATTTAGTTCGTTGACCCATTAATCACCCACAGTTGGCCTTTGAGCAGAATGGTGGTCTGCGTAAAAGGTCAGAGAGGCTAGGAGTGAGTAGGGAATGTCCATAAAGAAGTTTGGAGGAAGCCAGAGACCAGCTGGTGTCTTGCTGGTACGGTGAGGACATGCCACTTCTATGTGCATGTTTGGTGGGTGTTTGCCGGCTCATCTAGTCTTTAACAATGAAATACTTTCCAATACTTCTCACCATCGTTCTCCTTGGAGAACCCTTTATGCTTCTTCTAGTTCTCGCTGGGGTCTTAATGAACGAGAGAGCAGAGCCTGCCTTCCTGAGCGTCCACCTCTTCATGTTCCTTTGTCCCCTCTCCTGTCCAGCCATCCAGAGCCTCTTTGGTAGGGAATTCGTCCTGTTTTCATCCCATTGTCAAAATATATTTGCTCTCCCCTCGTACGGAAGACTTTCTTGTGGCAAGTTTCTTGGGGGGAAAAAATAAATAAATATTTTAAAAGGATTTGACTCATTACCATATGATTAAACCCAATTATCTGATTCTCCTTCAAGCTCTTAGTTTGACCTATTGCCTTTTGCTTTCCTCCTGACTTCAGTGCCTGTTGAGCACGTCAACGTTTGGGTTTATTCATTTGTCAGAGTAAGTTGGGCTTGTTTGAAAAAATTGAATTTTTACGATGAGAGGAGTTTCCTTTAGAAGTTCCAACGAGGGTGGACACCACTCAGGTGATAAATAGAAATATTGAGGGAAGTGCTTGCCCCAAACCCTTGTGGTTTTGCCTTCTGCCCGGGCGGATGGTACCTTCTGGGTGTCCAGCGGTGCTGCAGCGACCCGTGCCTCGTCCCATCGGGCACCCCATCCGCTCGCTGCCCCCACGAAGTCAGTTCCTGTTGACTTTAAGGCAGAGCTGGGGGAAACTTTTAGTTTTTCACTTGCGTCTCTTGCTCCTCTCCACCCTTTCCCAGCGCGATGAGTCACGGAGTCGTTCTCTGGGCACGTCGCCTGCGGGGGACAGTGGCATGTGGATGCGGTGGACCCCGTTTTTGGGTTTGTTTTTTTTGGCCAGGGCAGGCATAGGGGTGTGCAGCCACCCTCAGCTTGTCAGCACCCCTCTTCTGCTGCAGCTCTTGGCTCCCTGAACTTTCCTCCTCGAGCATCCCTTATTCCCAGGGTAGCATCACCCAGCATGGTCCTGCCCTGCTGATGCCTCTCGGACCTGTAAGTCCTTCCTTCACTAACTTCCTTCTGCCGAAAAAGGGTCAGTCTTTGACAAAAAAAAATAAAACCAAAAAAGAAATTGGAAAGTGAATTCTGGAAGGTGCCAAGGAATTCATTGAGTCGGGCAGAAATAACGTGAGAAAAGAAGGAAAGTAAAGTCGGAATGAAGATGAGGCATTGCTGGATGGGTGGGGGGTGCCCCACTGCACTGCACTTGATCGAGGGGCTGGGGAGGTGCATGGTCCTCCCTGGCTCTGTCTGGTGGGGGGGTTAGGGGAGTGCACCCCGTGCTGGGGTGGGTGCATGTGCGGGTGCATGGCGGGGCTCTCCCGTAGCCTGCGGGGAGCGAGGCTGTGGTTTTGGGGGAGGCTCTGGGAGGAACACCTCACACCTTTTGTTCTCTCCCCTCCTTTCTTCTTTATCTTTTTGGTTCTTTTAATAAGGAATAACGCGGGGGATGCTGTTTCGGGGCTGGGAGGTGGTGGACAAAGCGCCTCTGGCTCCTTGTTGCTGCCCTCTCACCAGCCCAG